ATAATGGGCCATGTTTGGCCCACGGGTCTTTAGTTTGACACATGTGACCTATATGAAACAAATTAACTTGTAAACTGATAAAGGTTAAAGAGGTATTCTGGTCTTTAGGAGCGTTACAGACAACCAGAGTGGGGGGAAAACAGTGAGTAATTTCTCCCATGTGACTGATGTGTCCTTGAGTAAAAATGGCTCCCAGAAAGAAAAAATCCTCCCCCGCGGTCCTGAAGCTGACGTACAGGTGAGACAATGGTCGAGGATTTTGGGATCACCTGAGGCTTCGTGTCCACAGTGGTCCACTCAGCTCAGAGTAGCCAGATGGGGCTGACCGCCAGCGTTCACCCACCGCTTCCCCCGAAGTCATTAATCACATGGTTCTGCAGATGAGCCGCAGAGACACATGCCACAACACACACACACACACACACACACACACACACACACGTAAACACAAAAACACATTAGAGCCTGGTTTAATTTTAAAAAGGCAAATACTGGATGACAGAATGGCTCCAGGTAGCCATTCCTCAAGGCATGTGCTGCTACACAGATATTTCAGAGCCCAGTCCACAAATAACACAACATCATGTCATATTAGGATGCGATATTGTACAGCACACACACACACACACACACATACTCACACACACACACTATTAGAACTTACTTTTTCCCCCCTGGGTTGTTTTTTATGCTTCCGAAATGCAAACGTGCAATCAGATCACAGGATCTGAACACCCCCAACACCCCCCATCCAAGCAGGCCTCTCCGCCCGCACCCGGGTCACAATCTGCAGCAGGATCTCAGATAACAAAACTTTCCCGTTTACCGGTTCTGAGATTGTTCAAAGCGGCCCCAGCGCAGCAGCGGGAGCCCGTGGTGTGTTGTGTTCGCTCTAACAGGGATGATGCATATATAGAGGGAGGGAAAAAAAACTAATTGAATGGTTGTGCTTTGCAGAGCATGTGTTAAATTGTTAGGTGTTTTTCTGCTGAAAGCGGGGGAGGGAAAAGAAACCCTACAATGTGCAACTAAAAGATTAGAGTCTGAGAAAAGTAAAACTTATACTGGATGATAACATTTCTGAATAATAAAACAAAACTGGTTTGAAAGCATTCATTGGTTGGTGCTTTTCATCACAAACTCGAGGCGTATCAGACCTAACTAGAACTTCAGTTCTAATTTCAAAGTTGTTAAAAATGATTTTCCCTCWTGGTTCTCTGGAAGATATGGCCATTTTTATTCTGAATTATGGTGAATATTTACTCCACTTATCTATTTCATTCTCTTTAATAATTTACATAAAAAAGAATACAGAAAACTGGATCACGTCAGTCCAGTTTCTAAAGATGAACCGGCTGCATGTAGCTTCTAGAATCAATTTAAAAGCACTTTTACTCATCTCTTTAAATAACCTTGTTTCTCTCTAAATCAAAAATAATCCCTTTATTTTATGCTCTAGCCGGATCACTAAGATCCTGTCCTGTTTTTCATTTTGTTGTGCTTTATGGCTCTCAGAAGAGGAACACTGACCGCTTTTTGTTCTCATACATCTACAACATTCTGCTTCCTGATGTTTAATTGTATGCTCTCAAGTCATTATTTCAAAAGGAAATAAATTTAAAAAAACTCTACGGCGATGGTCAGAAGTTCACAAACCTTCATTGTGGACATGAATTTTGGGCTTTTGATGGCTGATTTGAACTGATCTTYATCCAGGCTGGAAAAATTATACAACCTAATGGCTTTTTATAATTTAAAGGCACACAAGTTTGAATTTATTTTTTCTCTCTAATCCACTCAGGGTGAAAATTATATGTTCAAATACACATTGACCTAAATCTTTTAATAATGAAGGTCCTACACAGTCCAACTTCTCATTAGCAGTCACGATTGACTTCAGCTTGTAGTTTTTGTTTGCCGAAGCAAAATGGATTTGTTTGACAGCTCCAATCAAAACAAATATGTTCGGGAGCCACCCAGGAACCACGAAGGCTCAAGCCTGCTGCYGCAAACTTGAAACTGACGGAACACAAATTTTATTGTCTGCACTGAAGCTATAGCTTTGTTTACCACAAACTAAGAACATGCTGACAAAAAAAGTGCCTGCTTCAAAAGTGACGTTTAAATTAAAGAGAAAATGCCAGGTGTTTGGTTCGAATCCCCGCTCTGCCTGTCTCAGTCATGGTGACCCCGGGCCAGGGGCGGGGCCACAAGGGCATTGGCCCCAGCTGAAATCTGACTGGCCCCCTGAAGTGCCCCTGTCCTGTCACTCATCTGTCCATTCCCTGGGAGTGATGATGGTGGATGCAGTTCCAATTTCAAACACTAGAGGCGCTAAAGAGTCAAATTGTAAAGTCCAGAATGAATCAAGCTTACAGAATTCTTCTCTTCCTTAAAATGTGAACAATCCTGTAAAAATGTCTTTCAACTGACAAATGATGGCTGGATTTTCTCACATGTTGTGTGTTTTAGAAAATTTTATTTATGTACAGTAAAATGTATGAAAAACTGGTGAGGAGAATTTACTGTGCAAGATTTTTGGTACCACTACACAATCAAGCTCCCCTTATAGATGACTTATAAAGAGTTTATGGATGTTTTTTAATTCATTTGTAAAGTTTACACTTCATAAATCATTAATAAATGAAACTGGACAATTTTGTCTCTTTCTCGTCCTTAATTATTGAATAATAAACACTTATTAATAACTTTTAAAGTGCTTACAGATTAATTAGTAACCTATCTATAAACTCTTTAAAAGCCATCTATAAGGGGGGCCTTATTGTAAAGTGGTACCTTTTAAAAAAAATTACATTACATTACAAGTGTTTGAAGTGTAAAATGTATACACTGGGAATTTGTGTGCAAGTATGTTGAACAAAGACTTGGCCCCTCTATAAATATTGTGGCCCCTTRCTCAGAAAAATCCTAGATCCGCCACTGCCCCGGGCTAAGAGACTTCACCCTCGATTGCCTGTCAGTCTGCCCCTCTGCAGCTGTGGCTACAATGTAGCTTACCACCATCAGTGTGTGAATGTGAATGGTTGCAGTGTAAAAAGCTTGGACTTGATAAGTTCAGGTCACTTACCATTTGCTGCCTACATGAACGAGCCATGTGTCTTTCTGAGGAAAGTTTCCTGGTCAGAYGAGAACTGAGCTGCATGGCCCCAATGGCAAGGCGTGGTCTGAGGAGTCAAAGTGAGGCTTTCAGATCTAAGAACTCTGCTGTTACGTATGGTGGCCATCATCCCGCTCTTGTACTGATGTGTTGTACAAAGTGGGTATACTAGTAAAAGATTGCCTACAAATAAACTTAGCACAAAATTAAGGAAATTAGTGTTTAGTAGATTATTTCTTTGTTGTAACAATTCTTCTYGGCAATAAATCTTATACTGTTGGTAAGCCTGTTCATTTCCCTTTTAAATGGGACAACAGATGAGCAGCAGAGCTGAGTGGGTTGTACATGTAAACTACAGAATCCAAACAGCTTATTTTGCTGTTACTGACACTTTTTAGTTTCTGGTACCCCCAGGTGCTGTCAATCACAAGATTTATTGCCAAGAAGCATTGTTACTATGAAGAAATAATTACCAAACATAAATTTCCTTACTTTTTGTGCTAAGTATACTTCAAATGTACTTTAAATCAATGATGGCTGAAACTTAAAACACAGTTGGGTGTTTCATCAGGACAGCGATCAGTGAAAGACACATCAAAACAGGTTTTTGAAAGAACTGATGGAAAAATTGTTGGGACGTGCTTAAAAACTGGGTTCATGGCAGGTAACTAATCAATTTAACTTAATTCTACCAAGAAGAGTGGGCAAATATCCTGCCATAATTACACAAGAATCTTGTTGATGCCTACAAAACATATTTGTTCAAGGTCCACCTGGATGAAGAACATTTAAATATTTAATATAAGTAAGGGAGCATGAATACATTTGAACCTATATTTATCATTTTTGCCCTCGTGGGAATTAGAGAAAACACACAAGTTCAAACCTGAGCTTCCAAATCTTGTTATTTTTAAATAATTAAAGCTGTGTGTTGTATTGAAACAGTTCAAATCAATTAAAGCTTAAAACTATGTTTGTGTATGTAGCTTCTGACTGCAACTATTATTCTAACAAGGCTTTTAGTTTAGAGCAATGCAACAGTTCAATATGTTTTCATACCATGTGTTTATTGTATTTTATTGATTTCTCCTGTTTAAAATCTGCACTGCTTTAGTGCTGCTTGTGTTGTCATGTGAAAAAATGAACTTCAAGGARTTAAAAGGAATATTTAGCGGAGTTATACAGTATCTGCATATCATAAAAAAATATCAAATCAGGTCATGTTAAAAACAATTCTTTTAAACAGATTGTAAGAAGGAAAACACATTTTATTTATATTAATATATAAAATCTTGATTTAGCTGAAGCAGAGATAAACAGCTCTTGATGCTTTGAACGTTTTTAAAGATTTTGAAATAAAAGGTGCTGTAAGAAATCATTTCAGAATAATTTATCAGCCCAGAAACTGCAAATTGCTTTACAATCAATACTTCTTATTACTTTTTTTTTTTGTGTGTGTGTAGAGTTCAACCATATTAGTCTACAAATAGTGGCATTTTACAAGTCTACCACACATTTGGCATTAAAATGATAGCATTGTACATAAACCTTAAGTATTAAAATGAAATGTAAAGACATGAAGTGATTGTCAGAGGGCAGTTCCAATATGCTCCTTTGAGTGTTTTAATGAGGAAGAGTTGAGGTAATTACCATGCTTCCTTTGTGTTTCTCTCCTATGTGCATCTGCATTATTGCGTGGGAGTGGAGAAGGGGTAAAAGCATTCAAGGATGTTTTTTTTTTTTTTTTTTTTTTGCTGCTGGTGAGAATTAAAGCTCTAAAACTAATTTCTTTCATCGGCATCTGTCAAGGAGATTAAGTGAAGCATTACTCAAGTACGCACTTGTTTCACCAAAAGCATTTAAGAACTTGACTAAAAAGAGATTGAGTAGACTGTAGAGTTTAATACCACTCTGTTTGTGCATATCAATTTAATCCTTGATAAGCAGGAGRGAGAAAGAGAAAACATTTTTAAAAAAGGCACTTCAGAGAGAGCAGAAAAACTACAGTGAAGCACAATAAACAGGGATATGATAAAGGCTTTCAGTGCTCCATGGGGGCCCCGGCATCATTGTCCTCTTCTTCATCACTACAAGGTTCATAGTCATCGTCCAAGGCTGACTCTCCTTGCTCTGCCTCCATCTCTCCTCCCAGTTCGCCCAGCAGCTGCTCCACGTGTTCCAACATGGGCTGGTCGTCGCATCGTAACTTACTGTACAGCTGGGAAGAGCAAAAAAAAAACAAAAAAAAACTGATGAACAAGGAGGTTTTGAAAGGGCTGTACAGTCAGTTTAGGAAAAGGAGTGAATAAAATACTCTTTATTTATGTGTATGAGCATCAAGTGTTGTCTTTAACTTTCTTTGTCGATGACAGTGGTGGGCACAGTTCCCCTAAAGAACTAAAGCACTAATAAGGGAACTAATTTCTTGATTAGGGCTTTTGCTAATTTTAAAATTTATTAGTGGATTAGCACTTGTTATATTTATAGGCTAAATTTAGAAACACTAATTGAGGTCTATAAATGTTATTGATCAACGTTAACGTTAACAGCTGAGGATGAAAGCTGTCACTCATTTTGTTCATATGTGTCACTGATCCACCAGGTGACAATATATGAACCAAATCCAGCTGTGGAATGTTAATGATAAGTCTTAAGAGAGCAACATGACAACATGTGACTCATGTTGTCTGTTGAAGAATGTTCATGGGTTGACTGGGTTATTTTAGTGCTTTAGAGTTAGCTTTTGCTAAAACTTTCAGTGCGTTAGTGCTTTAGAATTAGGGGACCTAAATATTTGAGTTAGTGTTTTAGGGCTAGTGGAACTAATTTTTAGATTAGTGCTGCCCACCACTGGTAGATGATATTACTGTTTTGGGACAGTCAACAAAATGCGATCAATAACATGAATTGCCTTTACATCCATTCTATCAGTTAAATTAAAATAATTCATTTTTGTAACTTTTTTGATCCCATTTTAACATTTTTTAATGTTGTTTAATGTTTTAATGTTAAGAACAACAGTTTTTAACTTTGGGACACAGAGGGGTGCGGAACACATTCATTTTGAATAAGGTGCAATACACTTTCTCACCACTAGTAGCGGCAGCGCACCACACAGTTGTTTAACAACTTTTTTAATATGTAGAAGAAGAAACTTAGCAACCTGCCGAGAATGGAAACGTATTTTAAATGAAAAGTAGAAGCAAAGATGAAGGTAACTCGTCAAAAAAGGCCCTGGTTTGTAACTAATATGA